TCACCCACAAGGGAATTTTTGGCCTAACTTCAGGCATGTCTTGATGCACGAAAGTTTATAACCTTAATATATTCCTATTGTAGGATCAATAATTATTGTCCTAAAAATATTAAATATCAAAATTCCTGTTCATGACTGAAGTCAAAAGTAGTGCCAAAGATGCAAGATGAGCCTCCAATTGATAACTTGATTAAGTTAATCAATGCAGACTCCTCACCTCCAGCAGACATTGACCAAGAACATCATCTCAGATTATTTTATTGCTCCTATAAATGGTTAGAGAAACATGCATAGGCATAACCTTTACATGAAGGCATTAATATGAAAGCTAACAGTTTAAGCAGGCAATAACCAATTAATCAAACTTCTTTCCCCTCATAAATTAATTTCAGATAACATTGTAGATAATGCCACATCATCACTTAGAAAAGCTGCCTGATAAAATCTGAAATAGTTTAAAATAGACAATGTTTCATACATTATGAGGCTTGAGCAGAGTGGAAGTGCCAGGAGCTTCCAGAAACATAATTAGCTTTTGCTTTCTTCTACCAGTGGGGATATATTTCTTCTTGATGCCTTTGACAAGGTCAGGGATAGGTCAAGAGGTGCAAGTGTGGATTCTTCATTAAAGTAGTTTTGTACTGATGTAATCAGTTGTTATGGAGACAACATGCAGTGTGTATGTATGCATGCAGACAAGACGCCCTTTGAAATATCTCAGACATAAGGATTTAGACTCAAGATATAAGGAATTTTTTGGTAATGAAAACAAACAAATGAACATCTTAGAAAAAAAACAGAAGATGGGATAGTAGCTCAAACGGAACTTCACGTTTGGTTGTAATACGCTTAGGCATTAGGGTCCAAATTTTCAATCACTGAAAGTTAAATTTCTCTTGAAAAATACGCACGCACCCATGCAAACTATGTAAAACATGCAGTTGTGAATGCAAGTTAGGTATCTGTTTTGCAAATGTTTATATTCTCAGGTGCATACTGGGTGCTTGTGTGAGAAAAGGACCCATTACATCTTTTGCAAACTAAACATGGGTTTGTTTATTTCATTAGTACCATACTTAATAGGGCTTCTGTTTTTCAGTGTTTATTTTTAGCAATTTTTGAGTTTTATGTAGATGTCCACAATCAGGGGATTTCAGGGCTCTCTCTTTTATTAAACTGTAATGAGTTAAAGTATAGTAAATATATTATTCATTATATTAGTATATACTGTAATGAGTAATCTCTTTGTAGTGTTCCCTAGTGTGCTTTAATGTAGAGCTGTTTCATACAGCTCTACATTAAAGTGCACTAGGGACCCTTTAGTGAGCACCAGCAGGGTCTACGTGGACCAATTAATGTGCAACGTATTAGTGCACTTTAGAAATCACACCCTTGTAGTCCATATCACAGCCCTGTGTAGACAAGCCCTTAGATGCAAGTAACTATTTCCAGAGTTTTTCTGGTGTTTATTGGATAAATACCAATATCATTCTTTTTGTATTGGGGGTATTATATCAATGTGAAATTCAGAAGCCCTAATAATAGACTACTACTAAAAAGTAATTATAATTATAGGAAAAGGCAGCTATTATTTTCATTATGGTAGAACCCGAAGGCTCCAATCTTGATTGTGCTAAGTACAGTTCAAGCATATTTAAGATACGGTCTCTCTCCCAAAGAGTTTACAGTCCAAGGCCCTTATCCTGGAGATATTATATCCCATGCTTAGTTTTGTTCATATGAGTAATGTAATTATTGTATGCTGTTTGAGGTAGGGCTCTGTGTTTGTACAGTGCCTAGTACAATGGGCTCCCGCTCCAGGACTGGGGCTCCTAGGCCCTACCACAATGCAAATTATAAATAATACCAGTAAACTGAGGTTTGTCCACAACTGGTGACTTCCTCAAGGTCACACATTGAACCAGTGATAGAGCTAGATATGCAATTGGGCTCCAGCCCCCTGCTTTTAACAATACAATACTGTCCCTTCAAATAATAATAGAACCCAACATTACAGATTTGAGAATTGAGTACAGTAGGAGATTTTAATAAAACTGGGGTTATGACAATTCCCGTAAGTGCCCAAAGAACCTTCTCTTTCCTGCAAACCTAAATAAATATTTACAGTAACCCCTTCTACAAGGGTCTCTGGGAAACAGCATTAATTGAAGTCAATTTTAACAAGATTTATCAGATCAGTAGAAATCCTAATGAGACTATGGTGATGTAGTTAAAACATCACACATAAGACCTGATTCTTCAAAGATTTGCACACATGCTTAATTTTAATCATGCAAGTAGTTCCACTGAATTCAGTAGGACTACGCAAATGCTTCAAGTTAAGCACACACATTACTCTGCAGAATTGGAGCCTTCGTGTAACTGCCTCTTGTATATTTTACCCATAATGCCTTGTAGCATTTCCTCTGAAACTTTCTATAATACATTCCTTGTCTTAAGTAGAGATATAGGAAACAATGCTAAATAGATGAGAAATTGGGATGCAGATCCTACATTCTGGTGTTCATTCTAAGATATTTATTCCAATCTCTACTTCTTCCAGAAGAAACTGGTCCCTTTTTTCTAGCAATCAGGTGATGTTACTTCTATACATGGGCAAGAAGACCAGTAAGTAACTGTGATGGTTCTCGGGGTACCCAGGACGGTGAATCACCTTGTTACCCTCTGCCTCCAGCATGAGGGAGACTTGCTTGTGGTTAGCTGGGTGGCAGCTCCCTGACACCACCAGCCAGTTAGCCAGTCAACCACTCTCCTCTGGGCCATGCTTGCCCTCATTTTGCCTTGCAGGTTAACAATAGGTGCATCCCAGTCCCAGAGCCCCTTTGCAGCGTCTCTCTGTAGCATCCAGCCCCTTATCCACTGAACACTCTCAGAAATACCATGTCTGCTGTCCCCAAGGGAACAGTGTACACACCAGCTTGTACGATTCAGCTCAGGATCAGAACCTTGCTTAATATCACAGCACTTAGATATACTTACAGCAAAAGCAAAGATAAGATTATTATAAAAGATTCAAGAGATAGCGAGTAAGGATAATGGACACAAAAGGTTAGATATAAAACAAAATCATAATTCATTTTCTAGAGACTAAACTTAACAGGCTTACCAGCTGTCTAAAGAAGTTTACCTCATCCCCCCAAAGGCCTCTGCAACCAAGGCTGGTTGTGATCCCATTTTCATGAATCTAAACGCATCGCACGTTTACTTCCTGGGTGCAGGATTGGGGGGGAGGGGCATTTTTGCCTTCTACTTCTATCCCCAAAGTTCATTGTCTGACCTCAGAGACAATATAACCGTTTCCCCTCCTCCCACCTTGTTTGTTTTCCTGTGTGTTCTTCCTTGTTGACTTGACATATCTCTGTTGACTTTGTACGTAAATGGGTATCCATTGTGTTAGCTTGCAATGCTTAATTTACAACTCTCAACAGATGAATAAACATTTCTTGCCTGAGAGAAAGCCTTTTTGTCAACCCTGCCTTGATACAGACTTTAAAACGTATTTTCAGTATATAGTATAAACACATAATTCCTTATATAGTAGCTGTACATACAATTCACTACAATATTAATGACCAGTGTGACCCTGGCTTTCATTTAAGTCTTCACATTAGCTTCTTTGGTGAACATTAAGGTACATACGAGAACCAGGACACTCCTGTATCCCCCTTGCTAGCTGGCATTAAGGAGTTCTTGAGTCACAGTAACTGCTCGATTTTTTTGCTCCACTCTAAAGAACAATTTATAATCTCTGATAAATTGCAAAAAAAAAAAAAAAATCCTGGTGTAAAAGCAACTTTAAATTCTGAAAATGGCACTGTAGTACTCAGCAGAGTAGTATGTAATATTTCACTAAACCATTATCATCTTTGCAGCACTGACATTATTACTGCTGGAAGATTTTTTTTTTAATATACAAGTAAAAAGGAACACATTATAAAGAGAAAAGAAGAGAAGCTTTACCACGTACCTAACTGATCAGCCAGATGTTTACCCTTTTCCAGAGGAATGATTCTTTCATCCTCCATGTCACACTTGTTTCCAACCACAATGACTTGAGCATTATCCCAGGAATAGGTCTTGATCTGAGTGGCCCTACAGCAGGACAGAGAAAATCGATACTGTATTGTCACTAGTGCCAAAGAATGTTATATGTTAATTTATAATGAAAATAAATACTTATAAACATTAAACCCAATTCCAACTGTAGATCAGCTGTAGATTAAAAGGTAAATTACCAAACATATATAAGGCAGCAATGCAACATTTTAAAGTATATGAATTATGGTAGATTCTATTTTATTATCCCAATACTTTGTATACAAAGTTAATGTACCAATAAAGTTTCACATTTTTAAATGTTTTGAGTGGTGGCTCTTGTTGTTTCAGCTGTCTATTCCATAAAGGAGCATAATTACTTCATACATTTATTGTGAATGAAGGGCATCTGGTACACCCAACAGCTTCAGCAAAGTTTCACCCAACCCCAGCATAACAACATTAACAACATTTTTCACCCATTTGCCAAAAGAGAGCCAGAATTCTACCCAAGTTTTTATTTCTATTTAGTTTGCTTACATTGCTCTCCCTTTAACAACATGGGGCTTGATTCCTTCAGCTTCTGATTCACAAAGAACCTCCAATGCTGATTCAATCTTGATAATTTTAGTTAATTGTAAACAGCCTGCTCTCCTCTCCCACAGAAATGTCAATTACATTGTCCATGAGTATCTGTGAAGCAGGGGTTCATTTTATTGTGCAAATTGCCTTAAATAAATAAACAGCACATTTGATTTGTCGATGAGGAAATTAGTCTAAACAAAGGCCCTTCTTTGAGTAGAGGCAGATTTTTCAAAATGCAAAAATTATATAGCATGATGTATTTTCAGGCTGACATTTCCTAGCCTGCAACGTGAAATTAACACCCTGATTTACGTTTGCTCTTTACTAATATGATCTTTTACTCTCTTATTATATTGCAGGTCGTTTTAACTCTTCTCTTGGTGTAGTCTGCGTTTGTACAGCTAATTCCTACCTGCAACATATTTTTCATCGGATGATTAATCGTTAAAAGGACACCCAGGCTGACGGTCTAGCAGAAGGGGATACTGCTATCGATGCAGTGCCTTGGGAGAGACTTCCTGGAATTTCCTGAGTGCCCTGTTCTTGCATCTGGCTGATAGTATGAAGATAGGCAATATTTTCAACCCTTATAATATTCTATTACAAGATCCACAACCTTTTCAGGAGCATTCTCAGAAAATTGCTATATCTAAGATAGAGGACATACAATGTAATCTCCAGCAGCTAAAGACCATGTGACTGTGTTGTTTTGTGGCAATGCGGCTGGGCATTTAATAAAGCCGAGCTTGCTCTACAGGGCTGCAAATCCCCGTGCCCTAAAAGGCAAGAACAAAAATCTCCTGCCCGTGTTCTGGCAATCAAATAAAAAGGCTTGGGTGATGGCAGCATTATTTCTGGATTGGTTCCACAAGTGTTTCGTTCCGGAGGTCAAGCGGTACCTCGAAGAGAAAGGACTTGACTTTAAAGTGTTGCTGATAGTAGACAATGCTCCTGGCCACCTTGAGGCACTCCGGTTTGTGTATAACGACGTTGAAGTTGTCTTTCCCCACTCACCAATACCACCTCCATCCTCCAACCTCTCAAACCAGTCGTGAGTCGCCGTTTCAAGGCCACGTCCATGAGGCTTATGTTCTCACGGATACGTAGCACTATGGATGCTGATCCCAATCTTAATGTGATGGAGTGTTGGAAGTCCTTCAACACTGCTGATTGCATCACTTATATTAAACAGGCAATGGATGCAATCAAGCCTGAAACAGTCAATGCATGTTGGCAAAACCTATGGAAAGAATGTGTGAATGATTTTAAGGGTTTCCCGACCATTGACAAAGAAGTGAAACGCATTGTTCAGGTGACCAGGCAAGTGGGTGGCGATAGCTTCGTCGACATCCTTGAGGAAGAAATTGAAGAATTAACTGAGAGCCATAGAGAAACACTGACTAACAAAGAGTTAGAGGAACTGATAAAATCGTCTACAGAAGACGAAGATGATGATGATGATGATGATGAACAGGAAGAGCCAGCAAGTTGGAATCTTCATAAATTTGCTGAAGTGTTCCAAGCAGAGAAACACTTGAATGATTTAATTTCTGAATACGATCCCTCTATGGAACGAAGCCTCAAAATCACACGTAGTATTACGGACGATTTGAGACTGTATCAAGAAATGTTTGAGCAGCTCAAGAGACAACAGCGACAGTTGCCGATCACCATGTTTTTCAAGGAAAAACAACCAGCAGCAGATGAGCCTATGCAATCAACTTCTCGAACTGAACCAGAGCCAACCACTTGGTCTATGACTCGCTCTCCGTCACCTCCGTCTCCTGGATTGACATCAAGCCCTGACGACCCCCTGTAATTTCCCCTGCTGTAATTAAAAATACAGTACTGTAAAATTATATTTTGCATATGTACTCTTTATTAGATACTGTACATTACTGAATACATTGTACATTTATACATATTAGTGTACAGGGTTGTACAGTATACAGAACCATGTACAGTCTACTGTACTTTATGGGCAATTTAAGGGATTTTCAAGGGTAATTTTGACTACATGCAATTTTCACTTTACGCGCTGACTTTAGAACTTAACCCCCGCGTAAGATGCGACTCGACTGTGTAATGTTGCTCTGAGCTTTTAAACAGCTGCCATATTCCATCCCAGTGGTAACTGCACTTCAGTGTTGGATTAACGGATCCCTATTTATATCCATTACATTGGTTTACTTAGGAGTATAAAGTGCTTTGCATGTCTATAATTATTCTAAGTCAAGAACCTCAGAGTGTATTATTAATAAAACAAATACTGTAGCAATAATGATTTCATCATTTGCACTCAGCACATAGTCCTGATAATGCAGTGGACCTGTTGAGTTTTATTCGCGGTCAACTTCCAGTCTTTATTTGCTAGTAAGGAAATGGAAGTTGGGAGGAGATATGTTATGGAGTTGCCTATATTTTTGCACCCCCATGCATTTCTTGTTTTTCCTTCCAAGTAACAGTATCAAGAAAAAAATCAAACTGACTGGCATTTTAATTTGTGTGCAGACAAATGAAGATGTTTGAGCTAGATAAAAGATATCTGTGAGACATAAGCACAATGAACCTAATCCTCTTTTTTTCAGTGTACATCTTTGTCTAGTTTTTCTCTTTTGCAGGCACTGACTTGTAAATGTCACAAAAGGGAAACCTGACCCATACAGTGATAAGCAGGGGCAGATATGTTTGTGAAGCAAGCAGCCCTATTTCAACCCCACGTATTGTTTGACTGGTTGAGTAGATCAACTGCTGCTAATACCTTGCTGTGATCTCAAAGCAGTGAGGAAAAGGAAAATCATTTATTTTAACTCCTTATAAGCAGGAGTGCTAATCACAGTATCTTGATTTGATTTCACTTTGGGTAATTGCATTCTGCTGACCAAAAACAATGCCTTGCTGTGTCAGATTTTCACTTCTTGACCTAAATTGTTGTGTAGAGTTGCTGAGTGATGTTAGTCGATTGCTTTTTTCACCCCAGAAATGGCTGCATTTGAATGGTGGGGTGAAGTGAGTCCAGTGTCTTTTATTCCCTATATGAGTTTTGTTTGTAAGGTGCTTTTGGGAGGAAAGGCAGTATATAGATGTAGGACTTTATTATTATTTGTAGTAGTACAAGTTTGCCCCGGGGGCATTCCTGCATCAGTTACAGGAAACATAGTTAACAATAAGGGGAGGAAGGGAGTTTAAAGCCTTGTGCCCACCTGCTGACTAACTATGTTTTGCAAAACCTCTTAGGGCTTGTCTGCACTCTAAACACTGCAGCAGGACGGATGCAGTGCTGGTGCTGCGCCACTGTAGCATTTCAAGTGTAGACGCTACCTAAGCCGATGAGAGGTGTTCTCCTGGCGGCAAAGGTAATCCACCTCCCTGACAGGCAGCGGCTAGGTCGACGGAAGAATCCTTCAGTTGACTTAGCGCTGTCTACGGGGGGACTTTGGTTGGCTTAACTATGTTGCTCAGGGAGGTGGATTTTTCACACTCCAGAGCAAGATAGTTAAGCCGACCTAATTGTCTAGCGTAGACCAAGCCTTTGGCTGTGTCTATACTGGAAGTTTTTTCCTAAAATGTCCTACTGGCGCAGGTCCACCCTAGGTAGCAATGCTGGGAGTACTAGGCTAGACGGAGCTGCATGTGGTTGTGTGGTCTAACCCTGCACAGAGCAGGCCTACTAAACAGGGTGGTTGAAACACTGGCATGTCCCTGGCACTGTGTCTACACTAGGCCTCCCATCTTTACTATCACTATTGGAGCTGAAGTGATGGTAGCCAGAGTTGGGAAACTTGAAGGAAAAAATCCTAGCATAGACAAGGCCTTACAATAAAGTTATTTTTTCCTATGGAATAATTTTCTTCCGAGTTGCTAATATAACATATATTGCAACTGATTACATTACATTACATTTTAACAGAGTTTCATTATATCGTGAGTTCACTCAAGTAGGTTCCAGTGGCTCATGGTCAATGGGAATACTATGTAACGAGAGAGAAATAACATGGTTAATTCTGGGGACTCACTAGTGTCGTGGTGATTAGATTTATTGGAGTTGTAAATAGGTGTCATGGCAGCAAGGCTGTAGCCTCTGGAGAGTCAAGGTAGGTCCCGATGAACTCCAGTCTCTGGACAGTTGTGAATGTTGATTTCTGTTTGTTTATTTATAGGCCTAAGACATGTGAAGAGAACTATTGCCTTTTAAGTAGCTTCTTGTGCCTCTTCTCGCATCAATGCTTTGAATAAGCAATCATCCAAATAGGGGAATATTATCTTGTCTGCGGGGGTGGGCAGACACCACCATGAGAACTTTCGAGGACACCCAGGGCACAATGGACAGTCCAACAGAGAGTACTTTGTACTGGAAGTGGTCTGCTCCTAGAACAAACCTCAGGAACTTCCTGTGTGAGGGATGTATTGTTTCATGAAAAGATGCATCCTGGAAGTCAAAGGTCGAGAACCAGTCCCCTCTTCCCAGTGCTGGAATTATGGTTGCTAGTGTGACCATCCTGAATCACTGGGTCTTCACAAATTTGTCAAGTCTTCTCAAGTTCAGAATGGGCCTCCATCCTCCACTTTTTGGGGGGTTAGAAAATAATGTGAATAGAAACCCTGCCCTCTGTGTTGCATTGGTACTGTTTCTACTGCCCCTAGGGGTATCAGATGGTTTACTTCCTGTCACAGTAGATGTTTGTGAGAAAGGTCCAGAAAAGGGACAGAGAGGGAGAGTGTGTCGGGGGAATGGAGGTAAACTGGGTGGACTCGTCAGTCTCGATGATCTCTAATACCCATTTATCTGATGTGAAGGTCTGCCAAGCTGGGTGGAATAGGGTTAGATGGTCTCCGAAAAAATAGGTGGTAGTGGATGTTTCCAGCACTTGAAGATGTGAGAGGTATCTCAGGCTCTCGACCAAGCCCCCAAAATTGTTGTTTGGAAGGAGGTTGCAGGGATGTCAACATGTGGAACATGCCATGTCTTCTGAGTCCAGTGAGGCTTCCAAAGCTGTTCGAGCGAGGGGGTGGCCCGCTAAGATGGTTGTTCTGAAATAAGACTTTTTGTCTTCAGGAAGGAAATACGTAAATTCAGACATGGGTGGCATGGCTCTGCCCCTCCCACACCGAAGCCCAGAGCTGCCCCAATGCAGCTGCAGACCTCCCCCTCCCCAACCCCAGTGCCCCCACCTCTGGAGTGCCGGGTGGTGCAAGCATCGGCCCCACATGTTCCAAGTCCCATCCGCAGGCCACCCTATCCCAAAGCGGGGGGAAGAGCGGGAAGCCAGAGGAGGCCTGGCGGCAGAGCATGGGCAGGGCCACGCTGGGCTGTTTGGGGAGGCTTAGCCTCCCCCAGCCTATGATACCCGCCACCCATTAATTCAGATAATTTTGAATAGTTTGTGTAATTATATTTGGACATCAACGCCTTGTCGTTGGTGATCCTAATTTGTAGGGTTGCTGACAAGTAGGCCTTACGTCCAAAAAGATCTAATCTCTTCTAGTCATACAGGGTGGTTCTGGCATGAGGTTGTCATTCACAGCCACCACTATAAGGGAGTTTGGTATGGGATGCGAAAACAGAAATTTAATTCCTTTAGAAAGAATGTAATATTTTTTATCCATCCTTCTATGGATGGGTGGGATTGTTGCCAAGGTCTGCCAGATGGTTTCGGCTGGGGCCATGAGAGTGTCGTTAATTGGTAGGGCAGTCTTGGAGGAGGTTGAAATATATAGGAGTAGATTTCCCCTTCATCCTCATCGTCCTTGTGACTAGACAAGGGAGGAGCTGTTCTGGGCGGTGTGGCGAGTTGGCTCGGTACTGAGCATGCGGGACCGAGGTCAGTATCGAGGCAAAGAGATTCTGGCACTGAGGTGCCCAGACGATCCTTGTGGCGGAGGAATTGCTACAGTACCAAGAGCATCAGTACCAATCAGTAGGATCGCGTGCTATGTGCTGTAAAGGCAGAAGGTGGTGCTATAGCTTGTAACAGTGCTGAGCTGCTCGGCACCATATGCTTTATTGGCTCTGTGGCAGAGGTTTTAGGTTTCCCTTTGAGGCCTTTTTCTGAGCAAGCCCACGAAGGGTCTTTTGCTCGCACAGTACCCACGGTACCGGATGGTCCTGTTACCTCAGCGGTGGAAGGTCCTGATGTGGTTTGTACTGATGGGGTCTGCAGAGTCAGAAAACGCCGCTTTTTGGAGGATTCCTGAGGAGATGAGGTTGGAGCCTGCTTCTTTGCACCTTCTTGGTAGAATGCTATTTTACCTAAGACGGGGGAGGGGAACCTCTGTTGGAGGCTGCCCTGGGAAACCAGTGTCCAGGGAGGATCCGTGATCTGGGCTCGGACACCAGGCACAAAAACTTCTCCATCATGAGGAGCTTTAACTGCAGGTCCCTTGCCTTCCTGCAGTAGGCTTTCAAGCTGTGTCAGTGTGAGCACTTCTGTGGAATGTGTGTCTTGCCAAGGCAGCAGGCACCCTGCGAATGCCCATCAGCGACCGGGATAGACAATCTGCACATAAGGCAGTGCTTAAAACCCAGAGAGCCAGACATGCCCCTCAGAGAAGGGTTTTCTCCCATGAGGGAGGGTAACTATGCTACTCTAAGGGGTATCTAACAATTGAAATTTAATTTCCTCATGTCAGAGAGGGCTTTTTCTTTGTTTGTTTTAAAATAAACAGGGAAGGGTAAGTAACTATTTAACTAATTATTAACTAAGCAATTGGAACCCTAAATTAGATTAAATAAAGCTAAACTACAGAGGCACTGCTATGTGCTCCATCTCAAGTCAAGGGTGGTAGAGAAGGAAGTGGGGGGGGTTGGTTGCACGGCGCTATGTAACCCCTTGAGGCGGTGCAAGACAGCGCATGTGCGCCCAACCAGGCACCTATACTACAAGTCTCTGATTACAAGTGCAGGGGCACAGACTCACTTCAAGTGGAGCACCCACAGGGACACTCCTGGAAGAAGAACTCCATAGATTCTTGAAAAGAAAAGGAGGACTTGTGGCACCTTAGAGACGAACCAATTTATTTGAGCATAAGCTTTCGTGAGCTACAGCTCACTTCATCGGATGCATTCAGTGGAAAATACAGTGAGGAGATTTATATACACACAGAACATGAAAAATGGGTGTTTATCATGCACACTGTAAGGAGAGTGATCACTTAAGACGAGCTATTACCAGATTTCTGACCTAAAAGTGGCTATTCTTCAACAAAAAAAACTCGATTTCTGACCTAAAAGTGGCTGTTCTTCAACAAAAAAACTTCA